CCCCCCTATCCTTAAAAAAAACAATTTAGTTTTTAATTTTAATAATTTTAAATGATAATACAAAAAGTTTAAGTTACATACGTACATAGTTACTGACATAGTGGATACATAAGAGAGATTTTATGGTTTTGAGTTTATTAAAATTTTAGAGTTTAGACTTTAGTGTGAGGTTTGTTGCTGTTTTGATAGAATTATTTTCTTTAAATCTGGAACTGTATTGGACAGGACAACACGCATATTATCTTTGATATCCAATCGGTTTCGTGATTTTATTTTATATGTGACCATTGAAGAAAATCCAGACTCACAGAGATATGTAGTGGTGAATCAAAAATTGCACAGCTCGAGAATAAGGCTGCGTCAATGAACACCAAAATTCAATTACATTTTTGGTTTGAAAATCTTGATGCACCATTTCTCTCGATCTTATCAATTAATTCATCTTTTACCAGGTCTGAATCATCAATTGAATTTAAATCCACAACAAAAGGATTACATAACCATATGTCTGCTTTTGAATATGTAGAATTCAAATAATCGTTAAATGAATTTTCAAGTTTATCAAGATGTTCATAAATTTGTGTTTTTATGGAGCTGGACAAAAGAGTATTGTTTTTTGAAAGTTCGTGTTCAATTGTTGGAAAGTTTGCTAAATTATCAGACTGCAATCTTTTTTTTCATAGAGGAATTTTATTTACAAATGAACTTATTTTTTCGTCTGCGTTCATAATTGTAACTTATGGTCCTTGAATCGATGTAATAACTTCATTCAAATGACTAAAAATATATGACAAATAAGCCAATCCATGAATGAATTCAATATTATCGAAATGTTTGGAGAGTGAGCTTTGCCTTTCTATTAAAAAGTAAGAAATTTCTTCGCGAAGTTCATACAAACGTTTCATAACTTGTCCTCTGGAAAGCCAACGTATTTCTGTGTAGTAAAGAAGAACTTCATGTTCAGCTCCCATTTCTTGACAAAAACCCTTGAAAATTCGGTGATGTAAAGCTCTAGATTGCAATGTGGGCTTTTAATTTTGGCCTGTAACAACAACATGGTTTGCCACTTGCATAACGACTAGCTATAGTAGCAAAGGTTGCCACCACCTAGGGGAGGTGTCACACCTATCAGATATGATTACCGGACCATAGGTGGAATTTAATTTTAAGTTAATTAAAAGTATAATTTAAGTTAATATGTCGTTATATGTATAAATTACTATAATGCCTCGTGGTTTATAGAACACAATTATGACAATCAAAGTTGTATGTGGTTGATATGTAAAACATACCGTAGCCCGTGTCTAGATTAAGGAATAGGAATGAAATACACGCGAGTAATTAAGTTACTCGCGCAATAAAATAAATATTACAGTTGAAATTAAAAAGGAAATTTAATTTAATTGTTAAAAAAAAAAGAAAATTAAGTTAAACATGGACAAAATGCGAATGCATCAAAAACCATGTCTACAAATAAAGGCAATACAAATAAAATAAAATATTTAAACAAAAAAAATAAAATAATATTACAAACATCACGGACGGTATTGGAACACAACCGTTAATATTAATCGGAAATTAATGAAGAACCCCAGGAGCGGTCTGGACACTCGCTCCTTAGCGTTGGCTAGAAGAAAAGGGAAACACGTGCTCTCCACACATAAACAAAATTAAGTTAATTTACGATGAAATAAAATAATTAATAAAATATAGCTCATTACATATATATAATATAAAAAAAAAAAGGTTCCCGGTCTCCGAAAAGACCCATCCGATGGTCTGAACGCTTCGCCGAAAAGACCTGGCCGTTCGCCATTGGCGGCTCTATTCCATCATTGAAAAAAATGACGATAAACAAAAAATGTGTGCACCCTAGCACGGTCAATGACAAAAGAAAGAAAAGAGAAGAGTCAACACCGATCTAACGGCAATTTCAAATCGATAACGGCCATTCTTTTTGGAAGTAATCAATACTGATAAACAATTCGATTTTCATTTGTACAAATTTTTTTCTGTATGATATGATTTTCAAATGTATAAATTCATATTTAAATTCAATCGGACGTCCGCAAAATACAAATGTAATGACATTGAACTATAAAATAATTTTACATACAATGAGAAGATATACTCCAAGTCAATCCACGGATTCAACGATTCGACGCACAGTGGGGCAACGAGCTTCAAAAGTTGGCATTAAATCATGGAGCAAAAAAATATATTCCTAAAATTAATATTATTTTTATTTTTGTCCATCAGATATATAAAAAGTCATTTACATAATATTAACATAGGTATTTACTATATACTAAAATTCCAGCCCCTCATTACAGCTTCACCTGGAACAGATTATACGTTTTTTCTGCGTTAAAATTCCGATTTTTTATTACTGCAGTCTCCACACAATTTCATATCCGCTATGTTGTATTTCATTCTGCTAATATGTAATTTTGTCAGGGAGTTCCATAAATTCTTGAAATTTCATGAATTTGATTATAGGAATGATTCTTAGGAAGGCGTACTTTTAATATACAGAAATTTACTGAACAGGATCTTTATTTGCGGTATGCTGTGTATACAGTTATGCACCTAAAAATTCTGCTATCATTTTTGATTTCGAACACTGATCAAGTCCCTCAATATCTTACCTCTTACTCACAAATATTTTGTTCAAAATCTATGTATGAAACAGGGAAATGTTCAATGAATGCTATGGGACATTAGCCACTCAGAAATTTCAATCAAATACCAAAGTTTAGATTAATTTCAAACAATACGACAAAATTTAAAAACTATAATCGAATCATAATAATCATAGACCGTAATATTTATTTAAAAAACCATTATAAATTTTGTAATAATTTTGATTATAAGTAATGTTTCAATAAATAAACCATTACGTTATGATACTAAATTAAGTTCAGAAATATTCTTCGACTTAATATGTTATCAAAATCGTTTTTAGTTAAAATATAACTGCAAGCGCAACTCGTCAAGATTTTGTCTCGGATCTAGCGGAATAAATATGATTAGAAGTGTACATTTGTAGGTATCCGATAAAGACTAGTGATAGGCATTTTCGAATATTTTGAACTATCGAATAGTATTCAATAGTTTTTTAAAACTATCAAATAATCATTAGAATAGTTTTTATACAACTGAATAGTTTATTTTTAGCATAAACTATTCGAATGGGCTACCGAATGGTTTTAAAAAATATTCGATTAGTTCTACCTAAAATTTTTTATTAAGTATACTTAATTATAATAAGAAGATAATTATCGA